AGAATTTTTCGAACACGCTGTTCATGGAAATCGTGTGCTCTGTCAAGTACAGGGTCTTTTTGCAGAGATATGGCGAGGTTACTGTAACGAAGTCACGAAAGCTCGTAAATTCGACTGCACTTCTCGCGTATCTATCAGAAAACCTGCTTGACTGCTCATGAAGTTGAAATTTACTAGGCGGTTTGCCATCAAATGGTGCATATCTCAAGCTCCAGTATATAAAATTTGCCAATTACAAGCTTACGAAAACACGTCCTTAGGCATTTCGCCCAAAATGTACAGATCGCATACTTCGTCGAAATTCCAGCGTGACTGGTAATAATAGTTTAAATGCAAGTATTACGTTCACTTTGTTCAAGGGATCCCAGTGTACCGAATATGGTGGTTGAGTGTGTTTCAGCTGCTTAGTTGAATCAGCTTCTTGGCTGGAGCTCAGATGACTATATAACTATATATAACTATATAACTAGTTATATATAACTATATATAACTATCAAATCCACAGGAAGATCCATTGAGCGATTTGAATAGATTTGATCAGCTTTTTATGCAACCAGTCATGGCGGAATTCGACGAAGTATGCGATCTGTACATTTTGGGCGAAATGCTTAAGGACGTGTTTTCGTAAGCTTGTAACTTGGCAAATTTTATATACTGGAGCTTGAGACATGCACCATCGATGGCGCACTTCCTGTTAAAATTAACCTTTATAAACAGCCAAGCAGGATTTTTATTAGATACGCGAGAGGTGCAGGCAAAGTTACGAGCTTTTGTGACTCCGTTACAGTTGCCTCATCATACCTCTGCAAAAAGTCCCTATACTTGACAGAGAACAGGATTTTCATAAACAGCGTGTTCGAAAACCTCTATGAGCGGAATTTCCTTCCAAACCAAGATCATCAACATTTCGACCAAAACCCACTGGCGAGCTTCAAAGCGTGAAACGAGAAAAAATCAAATAATTCAAAGTTCTCTGAGCTTGTTCATAGGGGTCATCTGACTAGCTAGCTGATTACAAAACTCATATCTGCTTAGCAAGATAGCTTCGTATTCTAGGGTTACGACGAGTAGAATTTGGGATAACAAGATTTTTTAAAGTAATTTACCAGCCCTTCTGTCTCCATTGTAAAGACGCCTGTGACTACTTTTTAGCGCTCCATAATCTACAGAATAAGTACTATCAAAAGGTCCTTGCTCGAATTTACTCGGGACAATGCTCGCTGCTTTACACTTTCGCAAAAAGACGACCACAGAAAGATTTGAGAATACCGAAATCGGATTATCAAGGACATGAACTACATCAAAAGATTTGCCTTGATGAACCATGCATAAAGCTTTTTTCGGATTCAGATTATATTCATTCCGACGGTAAGTAGAATTTGGAAATGCGTGTTTTCCAAAATTCCCCACGTTTCTATCTCTTTTGGAAGACAGTCTGCAGTTAGCTTTAAACGCACTGTAACCTACAAGAACAGTACTATCGAACAGTGCTTATTGGAATCTTTTCTGTTACACAGACGCTGCATTACATCTTTGCGAAGGGACCTCCACAAAAAAAATTCGAGGAAACTGGAAACGGAACATCGAGAGCATGTTGCACATCAAAAAATTTGCCTGAACACAATGCTGCTTCCGGATTTAGAATATATTTATTCTGAAGGAAGTTATGGAGTTGCGTATTCTGCGTGATTCCCATGATTCCGCGGATTCTGAAATGTCGCGAAATTCCCGCATTATTCGCGGACTCTGGCGGAAATCCCTTAATTCCGCGAAGTTCACGGAGATTTTGCAATTCTGTGAGCGGTATTGTAATCTTGAGCAGATTTTAGAACGAATTTGATCAGAGTGACTCTCTACCGTACTTCTACAGTATACTTTCTATGTTTCATCAGCGACAAATCAATTGCAATACTGTTATCAGCACACTGAACAATTCAACCAAACAAAAGCCAGCAAAATTGAGCGAAAACTTACTTTTAGCGTATATACTTATCATATCCTGCTAGGTTGTGGCACTCTCATAGACTAGATTCACCTCGCCGAGGTGAATCGAATCTTTGGTGTCCTCGGATTCAGAATTCTTCCATTCTGAAGCGAGATATGGCGATGCGACGCGGATTCCGATGGACTCTAGTGATGTGCGGCGCACTCTGCCGCACTCCGGCGCATTGCAGCGGACTCCGGCGGAGTGCGCCGCAGTCCGGCGACTTTCTTGACGAATTATAAGCGGTATTGTAGTCATGTATGCGTTGTAAATGACAAAGTTATTACTATTTAAAAAAGATTGGGAGGAAGACGATAAGCGAGCAAGATTGTATTTACACGTCGACCGTTTAGCGAGTTGTTAAGGGAGTTGCGCACTTCATATGAACATTTGTTTACGATATCCTTTTTGATTTTCCCCAAAACGATTCTCAACTTACGACCGCCCTCTCCTGCCAAACTGTTTGATTCTTCCATGCCTGTCTCCCATTGTTCTCGCATGAGATTTTTACTTCTCCCGGCATCCTGCTTTTTGAATGCCATTCAGGAAACCATAAAAATTCCTCTACAAGACTGTTGTGTGAAAAATCGAGGTGCTATCAGAGTATATGATAGAATAGTTCGGATATGGGATCGGCAACGAACACCGCATCTTATTGGGCTTCTCTCTGCCGCACGATATTTCTATAAAAAATTATGTTAAGAAAAGGACAACGTAGACCTGTTCAACGGAGTAACTCCTGGGAAAACCGACCACATTTGCTGCCCAAATTTGGAGAATAACCAATGTTCTTATTGTAGTAGTTTCGTCTAGGCCAGGAAATTCGATATGCGGGGTTTGTCTCCATTTTCAAAAGTAGACGATTTTTTTCTCGGCAACAGACTTAGGCTATGCTCATGCCCTCCAAGACATGGAATAACGGGGAACCGCAAACAATTTTATCTACAGCACGAGGGTACCGTCTGGATCTATAACAACTTGGAAACCCTGCCTCAGTTGACACTCGCTAACTCCTTCTACAAAGCCGTTCCGCAGCTACATAAGACAGACTTGGAATCACCGTTCCAAGCGCTTCACGATGATATATGCCTCATCCGGATTGGCCGAGCTGACTCGGAAACCTTTTCCTGTTAAAACTTACTGTCGCGCGGGAATAAATAAGCGAAAAGAATTCTGTTCGAGGTTTTTAAAGGTAGTATGTTTTAGTTTTGATCTTCGGTCAAGAGTAATAAAAGCCTTACATACTTGCTGCATACGTCATAGATAATTCCTTTCCTACTGACATGCTCAAAGGGTGGCCGGAGTGCAAAAATTTATTAAACAATTAAGAAACACCCTTTTGAAATGCTTGTCCTAAATAACTGCTTCATTCTTCATCACCACAAATTTTCAAGATTTGATAAAGAACACCTTTCTGTACTACCATTCCCGCGCGACAGTAAGTTCTGACAGGGAAAGATTTCCAAGTCAGCTCGGCCAATCTAGATGATGCATATATGATCGTAAAGCGCCTGGAACGCTGATTCCAAATCTGCCGTATTTAGCTGCGGAACGGCTTTGTAGAAGGACCTATGGAGGTGCTCCCCTCCGGGGTTGAGGCGCCTTCAACATTTCGCTTGTCTACGTGCGATGTTGAAGAGTATACAATGGGCCTCATAATCCGTGGACCACATTAAGAGACTACGAAGCTATTCGTTTGTCCTGCCAGAGGAAAATGCTCAAAGATTAAGAATATTCCGCTGTCTACTTTTTTATGTCTCAAAAGCACGTATAAGAGATTTTCTCCTTCTTTTATAAACATGATATAGATTTTTCCGTTTATTGTAGAGATTCGGCACTAAAAACACTTACTAACACGGCAGAGTTTTGGCAATTATCTCAGAAACCACCAAATCAAGTGGTCCCAGATTATGACTGCTGGAAAGAGGAAGAAAAACTGCGTCGGTAATTTTGAGAGCATTTGCCTGCCTTTATTCCACCTGACTTTGTGGCAGGTTGAAAAAACGGAAAGAACTTTTGAATCGACCTAATATATGCCTCATCCTGATTGGCCGAGCTGACTTTCCTTATGAGAAGAAGAACAAAATTTCAGTACTTGCTCACTGCATGCCCCCTGTGTAGCCAGTATGAAGTATCTAGATTTTAAAGCGTCGAAAATGGGCTTTGGAAGTATAGTATTTAAAATGTATCCACTGTTAGTCACTCTCGTGAGCTGAAGCCGTGTCCGGACTAGAGCAGTTCCGGACTATGTGGAGGTTTTGGGTTTTACTGTTGCGCGAATGTAGCCACCCTGACATGCCCAAAGCCCAAGCGCGAGCACGTTTCGTGAAAACAGGAGGGCGAAAAATGGTCCACAAGTTGGGAGATTTACGCCACAATCGGAGAACTCAGCCCACCAAATGATAATTTGATAAGCTGAGGTGATTTGTCGCACACAGTCGAATGGTAGGGTCCCACAGGACTCTGCGTCTTAATCTCGGCGAAAAGCTTTCAAATCGGCTTTTAGAGTAGTCAGCTTTCGAGAGGTATTGATAGCCCGTTTTCGACATTTCTGCAAGCTGGATTTTCAAAACCAGCAGGAAGAATAAGCCCACATAAGCGAAAAAACTTCTGTTCGAAATTTTGCGAGGACACTGTCTTTAAAATATAAACTTTCTGCAAATTGGCTTCCTTGCAAATTAGTTGCAGTTTGAGCAACTTTTTGGAACACCTGAAATCTTATCTGATAAGGTTTTCTGGAGTGTTGATTTCAGCAAACAGGTTTGTAACGGTTTTGAACAACTAAGATGGTATGAAGATTTTTTCGTATCGTGATTTGAGTTTCAATGGTGCAAATCCGTTTGAGATTTCCTTCATAATCCTGCAGGGAAAATCAGTGATTTCTTTCAAAGTGTAGATCTAAGTTAAGTTAGCACAGAATGTACGAAGGTCATCGAAAATTATTAGGACACGAGAGATAATCAAACAGTGGGGAAATTTTTGAGACATTCTTCAATTTAAAATCCAATTTCACTAATTATTTGCCTGAATCCTTACCTTCTTTGCACTTGTCGAGCTCTAATGGTGTTTTTAAGGTGTTAAACCAAGGATAGAACTTAGGTCCATTGAGAACGCTGAAAAGCTTACTTTGAGTGTTTTCATTATAATACTTTCTAACATATCCTTACTTTTTTTGACCTATGTTAAAGCGTTTTTTATCTCTTTCCTTCAAACCATGAAACATAAAATCTCTTTGAGGATTCCAATGACTATTCGTCAGCCAACCATCTCTCACCCATCCTTTTCCCTGAATAAATTGTAGGATGACTTTCTTCTCAACAAAAACGCTTGTACGGTTTCTCGAGCATAAGACAGAGGACTCAATGCATGCTTATGCTAATCATTGAAACCAGATTGAAGCTTGCAAATATTTACACAAAAAATTGGGTATTTTGTATTCAAAAGGCATGATTCCTCGCTACTCACCCGCGGGAAATTTCTATTTCGGATCGTAAATTATGCCAAACATGGATAAAATACGGAAACAAATACAATGCAACGATAATCTGGAAGATCTGGAAGAAGCACCGAGGCCGGTGGTAAATATATCCTACCTGGGGCATCATAGATGCACATGAAATTTTATAACGCAGGCAGCCGCAAAAGTTACAACGAGCGCGATCGAACCTGCACGCGTCAACTTTGAGTGCCGCAGCACAAATTATTCAACGCGGTCAATTTCGTTGTGTGCGACAGCAATGACAGAAACGCACAAAACAGTCGCGCCTGTGAGAGCACAGGATCAATACATTGCGTTATATACATCGACCTGAAAGAACAGCTGATTGATAAGAGCAAGAGACAGGCGAAAGTGTTGCAAACAAGATTTAAAGGAATTGCAAGAAGATGGCGTTCTTTTTGGTTTTATAATATTACTATTCATTTTTTCAACAAATACTTCAAAATTATGAACAAGGAAAACACCCACATAATGACAAAAATAACGGTTTTTTGATGAAAAAAGAATTTTTCTGATCCTTCCGCTTGGCGTAAATTGTGTGCTATTGCCGCATTACTCGGTTTCACAGACGCCGTCGGCAAAGATGCCAGCATCTCAACGTAGCGAAATGCCGACAGCTTCCTCTCTCAAAAGAGCATGTTATTTCTCGTGCTTTCTGACCTGCCGGCAGCTGCCAACTCGCGGATATCGACAAGATGCCGGCATTGCCAGCAACTGACCTCGCGAAGTTGCCGGCAGCTCCTCATGCGCTTCTAGATATTTTCCTACAGAAAGATTTTTGGAATCGCAGTTTTCGATGGAGGTTTCAATAAAGTCGGGTCGGCATCTTCATCAAGAAAGATTTTTGGAAAAAAGCCTAGGGCGGCCTACATTTGGGGTTTTAGTTACTGGTCACCTCACGGAAAAATGCCAGCGACCTGTCGACAAAACCTGCCGTTAGGTCGGGGGATTTCTTCCGGAGCAGGAGCATGGCAGCACCAATCACACCAAAAGTGTGATCGCCTCAATAAAAAAACGCAATTTCTTCTTCTTGCAAATTTTTTTGCTTTTTTTGCAATGTTGTGGTTGTCCGTTATCAATTATTTTAGTGTGATCTGCAATCGCAGATCATATTAAAAACATCTGCAATTCAACCTAAAGACCCCAAAATGCCACATTCTCAAATTTTCGGCAAATTTCTACTTTTTTTTCCAGCCATAAAAAGATCGGCAAGCGCACATATGTCTGACATGTATAGTGCAGTTATAAGAAGTTGGAACTCGCAGTATAGATAGATTATAGACAGATTAGATAAAAATCTAGTTTCGATATTGAAAATCTCTTAGATTACGCCCCAAACTTCACACAAATCCATCCCTTCGCGATTGCTTAAAGGCACCGTCCACCCAAAATGGAGGTTGGCGAGATTACGATGGCATACAGTGTGGGCCCCCACACTAAGCAAACCCTCAAGCTTCGCCGCAAAAGACTGCTTCTGGAGCGAGAAATCCGCTCCGGAAGTTGCAAAGTAGGTACTTATATGCTTGATTTCGCCTGCGCTTGTTACAGAGGGTTCTCGAAACACGGATTTTTGGGAGTTTCGCGAATTTTCGACTCCATATTCGGAATCAGGGCTTTCAGAAGGCCTGAAGGCGACAAAAACATTGAATTCGAGATTTTGGGTGGACGGTGCCTTTAATATTATCTTGTAAACCTTGCTTTGCTTTATCGATTATTGTATTTTATTCATGAAGTTTCTTGCGAGCCAACTTTGCTAAGACAGTATTCAGTTCAGTCATTCTATTCAGTCTAAGTCATTGCCCTATATGATCAGATCTTTCTCTAGACTAGCTTAACCTCATGTCTCAAAAGAAATCAAGTCGAGACATTACACAACAAGTAGCATACCCAGGTCTCCACCGACAGCGCGACGACAGACTTTCAAGCTCCATTGATGGTAAAAGACTACAGCTGCCCGATATGGACAGCCTGTACTAGCGGAGATGATATGTATAAGTGACAGTATGACAGGAATGCATCAAGTCACTAGATGTAGAACTATTCAATCTTCCCATTAAGTTTCGATTTGCACAAGAGAATGTATGCCGCTTCAAACGCTTTGCGAGGAGCGATTCTTGGCTCGCAACCATGGAAGAGGCACCTGATAACAAAGTCGTTGCTATAATGGTCCATCTTCCTTGCCTTCCTAGCGGACCTGCTGTGCTTGGGCTGCTACCTCATTTGCCAACTCGACGGATTCTCGTCTTACACTTTCCCCACTGCGGACCTCGATTGCCATTTTATACATGTACCGCAGTTATCCGGTTGTTTAACCGCGACCGGATTACCCGAATTTGTATGTAAGACGACAGTCTTAGAGCTCTCCTTGCGATACTATCTCACTTGTATCGTAACGTTATTTAGCATTAGCAGGTGTTTAAGTAGAAAGCCAACCGTTTCAGGGTGCTTTTTGGTAAAACTTATGTACTGTAATTTCTGGTTTGAGCCTTAAAACAATCATCATTTCGGACTGTGTTGAAGTCATAATGCAACATTTTTCAATATATCGGTAGTATTAAGTGGGCAAATAGCACCGGTAATAGCACCGGTCTTTCCATTCTGCTCACAAAACAGATGGCATAGGTGCTAACCGCTAGCCCACTGCTAACCCCCTCAATTGTGAATAATATGCGCTTAAAGTTATTACTGTTGAGACATTCCTCAAAGTCATTAAACATGCTGTACTGACCTCATACATCAAGATGGTATTACAATGACATACATCGGATGACTACTTCACACAGGCCTGATGAAATTAATCATGATTTGATTGCTCAAGGTAATACTAGGTTGTCCCGAAAGTTTTGTCGGTTTTTTCAAACGACTATAAAACCAGGCACAATAAAGACTTGAATGAGCTTTACGTGCATTCGATGCAACTTTTCCTTCTCTTTCTTATCTATACATTTCGAACCATAATCTTGCATACTTTTGATAATTGCCAAACTTCTGCACCCATCAATTTTAACTGCTCAAAGTTTAACTAATATTTGGAAATTTCGTTTTGAGGACTCAGAATGGGTCAATTGTGAACCAAATAGAGCAATTATCGGACTACAAAAAAGTATTTTTGAATTTTCCTAACCTGCTGTTTTTAGCTCCAAAAGATTATTTCTTCGGAGGTCTCGATTTTTGACAAGGTCATGACACACGCAACTGCAGCAAATACATGAAACTTTTGAAGTTTCTGCAAATTGGAACAAATTCCTTATTAAACATTATTTATGCAACATAAAAAGTTTAGTTTGCTTTGGAAAAGCAGCTTTTGGAGTTCTTGGTACTTGGCTGGTAAACGTAGTCAAAGAAGCCCGGTTTTTATCAAATAAATAATCATAACGGACTTGGTAAACGTTGCCCAAATAATCTAATTGGCACAATGTAGCCAAAGGTTTGCTCTACACAATAGCTACCAGCGCTCTTGAAAACCCCAGCATAAAAATTTTAAAAATTCAGGAAAGATTCGGCGTTACTGCTAAGATGCTCAAAAAGCCATGGCGATAACATTCTTAAGACAGGGTAGATTAGAGAGTAAATATAGCTGTAGAAAAGAGAATAAAAATGTAAATCGAACGGTACCCAAGTCGTCCATGGATTGGTGTTTTGGAGTTTTAGTGAGCGATGAAAAATACGGACAAAACTATCGAGTACTCTGCGTTGATATCCGTCAAAGGGCCGGCACTATCTCGAAAAATTTTACAATTTTTCTTAAGAGCCATGACATCATCATTTAGCTAATGATTGGTTAAATTTTGTAGACTGAGGCCGGCATGGAGCTCGTGTAGCACGGAGAGCTTATGCATCCAGACTGGTGTAAGAATTCCATCAGAGCTGTATGAAGTAGTCATGCGATATATCGTCACTCTATACGTTTCTAACGGTCTCGCTTTTTGATGTACATGGTAATACCATCTTTGTATGGGGTCAATAAAGCACGTTCAATGACTTTGAGAATTGTCTCACCTGTAATATGTTCAAATGGTTAGGCGCATATCATTCGCAGTGGAGAGGGTTGGCAGTGAACCGAAGGTTAGCATCCACGTTTCCCATCTTTTTTGTGAGCAGAATAGAAAGACTTAGGTACTGCCAATATACTGACGATGTTGTATTATGACATCAACACAGTCCAAAAAGGCGAGTGTTTTAAGACTTAAATCAAAAATTACAGTACATAAGTTTTACCAAAAAGTCACTCCGAAACAGTTGGCTCCTCTACTTAAACACCCAGCTAATGCTAAATTAGGTACGATACGAGTGAGATACTATTGCAAAGGGAGGGAGCTCAAAGATTATGATCTTACACGCAAAATCGGGTAATTCGGCCGCAGTCAAACGACCGGATAACCCGGTTAAGTACTGCGGAACATGTATAATATGGCAATCGATGTCCGCAGTGGGAGAAGTGTAAGACGAATCCTACGACGATTCCCTCGAGTTGGCAAATGAGATCCAGCCCCGCTACTTCTTATCAAAACCAAAGTTTGCTGCAAGTGCTGAAGATCGCCGAACTGATGCAGGATTTCATTTGTACTGTACAACAGTGTTTCAACCTTTCGAGTTCTAATGTCGAGAAACATCAATCTAACCTAAAAACTCAAAAAATTGCGACATTTTTAAAATTTCGGCATATGTTGCGAGCCACATAGGTTTGCTAAGACATCTATTTAGTCTATCGTTTAAACAATGAAACCTTCCTTAGAGACCAGAAAGAAAGTCTCGCACTAGTCACTGCCCCATATGAAATCTCTCCTCTTGACTAACCTAGTTCGACGCCCCAGGAGCAAACAAGCGGAGACATTACACGACGAGTAGCATACCAAGATCTCCACCGACAGCGCGACGATAGACTTTCATGCTCCATTGATGGTAAGACTACAGCTGACCGATATGGACAGCCTAAGTACTAGCGGAAATGATCTGTATAAGTGACAGTATGGCAGGAATGCATCAAGTCACTAGATGCAAAACCGCCCATTCTTCCCTTTCAGTTTCGGTTTGCACAAGAGAACGTATGCCGCTTTAAACGCTTTGCGAGCAGCGATTCTTGGCTCGCAATCAAGGAAGATGCACTTGATATCAAAGTCGTTGCTATGATGGTCTGTCTCACTGCATTTTCCCGGCGGACTTTCCATGCTTTCCCGTCTGTTTCTCGTCAAGTGTTTATTGAATTGCACGCTGAGTTGCCAAACAGTTCCTTCTACGTGAATAGCGTGGTATGCCAAATAATCAATATCGTATATGTACAGTGTCAAATTCAGCACAGTCTTTCATTTTTCTGTGAGGGCAAGTGATGCAATTTGTTGTCATACACCTTGTGTCGTATAATCGATTGCGCACTAGCTGTTGCTTGATGTTACTTTGAGGAATATTTACGGCAACAACATGCCGCTCCCACTGCGAATGTACTATACAAATCTATAACGGTGCTTTACCTTGTCGGAAGTGAATAGTGTATAATGAAAATCACGTATCAGTTCGGCGATCTTCAGCACTTGCAGCAAACTTTGGTTTTGATAAGAAGTAGCGGGGCTGGATCTCATTTGCCAACTCGAGGGAATCGTCGTAGGATTCGTCTTACACTTCTCCCACTGCGGACATCGATTGCCATATTATACATGTTCCGCAGTACTTAACCGGGTTATCCGGTCGTTTGACTGCGGCCGAATTACCCGATTTTGCGTGTAAGATCATAATCTTTGAGCTCCCTCCCTTTGCAATAGTATCTCACTCGTATCGTACCTAATTTAGCATTAGCTGGGTGTTTAAGTAGAGGAGCCAACCGTTTCGGAGTGACTTTTGGTAAAACTTATGTACTGTAATTGTTGATTTAAGTCTTAAAACACTCGCCTTTTTTGGACTGTGTTGATGTAGTACTCTGCGTTGATACCACTGCTT